TGAACTACAACTCACCTGACCAGTTGAGGGGGTTTTGGGGGGGGGGGGGGGTTGCAATAGAGAGAAAGAGAGGGGACTGCAAGGAGGCGCTTGCAGCTTGTTTTCTAACGGCTCGAAGAAGAGAATTATATATATAGATAGATACGGGTAATTGTTAAAGACATTGCTACTATTAGTGATTAAACATATAAAGATTATAATTTGAAAATAAAAAAGCAAAGTTTACCGTTAGTTATAAATTCCAGCCTATATTATATATTAATACTTTAAGAGTGGTAAAATAGATTCCCTAAAAACTAAAAAAATTCAGATAGAGAACGCTGCCTTTATTTGTTGTGTGTTCCGTCCTGAATTGAAATGATTTAACTTACGATAAACTCGACTACTCTATATAATCAAATTCTACTACATTTACATCACATATCAAACTTCGATAAGTAAACATAACTAGACTCGATGTTCCAGAACTACTATACCACCTCGCTTAACTTCACCAAGCTCTACAAACGATACTCCCTATCAACAACGATTTAACAGGACCTACTACTACACGATAACAGTCAACACAATTCGATACCTTAATACCACAAGACTCGATACTTTCGGACTCCAGAACAACGATACGTCATCACCTACATCCTCATTTCTCTATTACCAATCAGATTTCAATGGACCTACTACTACAAAACAGCCAAATAAAAAATACGACACTTTAACACTTCGATACTTTATACCTACGAAACCATATCAGCAACAGCCCTCTACCGTTACTCCCAAATCTAAACGATTCATCAAAATTACCAAATAAGTACAAAACTTTGAACATAGGCCTAAATAGACCTAATTTTGGGGTGGGGGTGCAAAATTGATAGTTTGTCCTGGGCGCCGAAATAGATCGTTTCGACTTCGTGTATTACCATCTATAGGTTATAAAAGATAATCAAATTTATTAATTGTTAGGTACTTTTTGATAATAGCGATTAAACCTTTTTGCGCCCACCTAGGGATGGCGCCCTAGGCGACCGCCTAGTTCGCCTTATAGGTAGCGCCGGCCCTGCACCCACTCATATATATTTATTTATTTTCTTATCTAAGTAAAACAAAGCTTTCTTTACTATTTGAGTTATATTTTTTTTTAGTTTTAAAAATATTCTAGATCTAGTTAGGATTGTTTTATAAATTAATGGAACAAGTCAAAATAAAACGAAACAAAGCTAATCCCCGAAATAAAGGCAGATGCTGAAAACGCCCTACAAATTACTATTGTTCAAGAGTGGCTCATTTTTAATTCATTCCCTCCATTTGGATAAAAGTCGAAACCCTTAAACGGAGAGGACACGGACGATTTGACTGACAGCCACATCAATGACCGCCAGTAGAAACGCGTGCACGCCCGCCACGACACACTGACCTCATCAAATAATCATGCTCTAAAACCCCGCGCTACCAAACGGCATCGCAGTGACGTCCCTTGCATCGATTGACCTTTGACACCCCGTGCGCCGCCGCGCCCCTATTTCGCAGCTGACTTCCATCTTGGCGACGGCGGTGCGCAGAGCTAAAACAATAGAAGGAAGACCCCGAGTCGCACCGGTGCGGGTTGGTGCGTGTGGGTCACTGTTGGGTCAGACGGATGCTGTAATAATCCAACAATGTGTCACGTGTCAACAAAAGTCGCGCGCGAAAAAACGGGTTCAAAAGGCACGTGCTTGAAGGGGAGGAGGAGCGTGCCCCTAATTAAGGTCGGGCGGTAATTAAGCGGAGGGAGATATTTTTAGTTGAAAATTATTGGAAAGTACTAATTAAGCCCAGCTTTTACTTTCACGCATGAACACATCATTAAGTAGTGACATTCTAATTTTAGCCAGTATAAACGTGTGTCATTGTGCACTTTAAGTTCTTAAGACCAGTCTACCTGGGAAACATCCAGGTGGGCCAAATGAAAAAAGTTCGGTGGCCCCTTAGGGAAAGGTGCTGTAATAGTCTTATTAATGTTATGATAAAAAATATTGTTGGTATTTCTCCCTTTTATCAATTCTATTCCTTCAAATCAAGACGATAGAATTGAGGCTTCGAATGCGAACAAATGTACGATGAAAATTTCCGACGTTGGGGCCCCTTTAAAAATTTCCTGGGCCTCCTGGACACAGCTAGTCCACCCCTGCTTGAGACTCTCGGAAACAACAGTCGCAAATGTGGGGGTGGGGTAAGGTGGGATGGGGGAGGGGGGTTGTAAGGACTGATGAGGTGAAACCGGTGACACCATTTTTTTGCCCTATTAAATTAACCACGAATTAAGACATATCCACATATATCCATTTATATCACAAGCTTCCGTCCTGTTTGATAAAGATGGTACCTTATTCTTTCGGTTATGCTGTCCTTGTAGGGGGGGGGGGGTGGTGGTTGACAACCTGATTTTGTAGGGGGGGGGGGGGTTGACACCCTGATTTTGCGCACAGAAAATTTTAAGTTTTTTTTTTGCTGACTAGTGGCTGTCTACTAAGAATAGTGGTGTAGTTGACCTCTAGTTGACGTGTAGTTGCTTTTTAGTAGACGTGTATTTGATTTTATTTGACGTGTAGTTGACTTGTAGTTGACTTGTAGATGCCACTGTAGCACTGCCGTAATGCCCATAAAGTCATATACACCACAAGTATTTCTGTTTAAACTGAATAAAAATTCCTGTCAAAATATATTTTACTTAATTTATTGTCATGTTAGTGTTTTTTTTAAATCAATATTGCTATAGACCCCCTCCCCCCTTTAAAAATAAAATAAAAAGATGAATATTTGATACCACATCTTTCCGTCATCGTCTTCTTCCCAATAATAACAAATTAAGATTAATATTCTATGAATCTCGAAGTCATCACCTACCACCTCCTCCCCTCACTAAATCTAGAGAAGCTACTAAATAAACGGCGATGATACGACAACAACACTACGAAAGGCAGCTGTTAAAACGGACTAATGAGCACTGTGGGGGGGAACCAGCGCGTGAGATGACGTCATAGCCGCGCCTTCCTGCTGTCTAAAGATTTATGCCGCGGACTATAAATAAGTCGAGTAGTTAATGATGGCGGGAAATATTTAATTATAGCCCCAGCAAAGTGAGCCACGGACACATTCACGGGTCCATCAACATCGATTAGCGCCCACAATGGCCACAGTGCGCCATGACGGAGCTTTGTAGGGGCCCCAACCGCGACGAACGATCTGGGTCATATATCAGCAACCCCTACCCAGGCAGGGGGGACTCACGTCTGCTAGTTTATCTGGGTCAAATAGAGCTGTGAGATGATTATGTCATCGTCGCGTGCCACGTGTATATAATATAGGATCAGGATTTTTTTTTGGAGGGGGAGGGGGGTGTGGGGGAGTTGGTGTTTAAAACTATAAAATATACGACTAGTTGAGTTGGTGTTTTAAAACTACAAAATATAAGACTAGTTGAGTTGGTGTTTAAAACTACAAAATATGAGATTAGTTGGGTTGGTGTTTTAAAACTACAAAATATAAGACTAGTTGAGTTGGTGTTTAAAACTACAAAATATGAGATTAGTTGGGTTGGTGTTTTAAAAATACAAAATATAAAACTAGTTGAGTAGGTGTTTAAAACTACAAAATATGAGATTAGTTGAGTAGGTGTTTTAGAATTTCAAATATAAGACTAGATTGTTTGATGCTTTAGAATTACAAAATATAACACTAGTTGAGTTAGTGTTTTAAAACTACCAAATATAAAGCAATATTGGTTGGAATTTTAGAATTACAAAATATCAGTCTAGATGAGTTGATGATTTGAAACTACAAAAAATCAAGACTAGATTTGGTGAGTTGGTGTTTCTAAAGTTCAAAATATCAACAAAAGATAAGTTGACAATGTACTGATGTTTTCAACTTGCTATAAATTGATCCGTTTGTGACTTGCTTCAACTGAATGCAAACAACTTGACATTTTCCTAATTTTTAAATGTAAATGCCTGGTCTCATGTGGCCAATACTCAAATCATAATCGCTGTAGGCGCACACCTTCATTCTAGTTCGTCTTAAACATTTTTTTTTTATTTAAAGGAAAACAAACATAAAATAAATGATGGATTTTATGTACGATTTACTCTCTCATTAGCATCATTAATAACAATCGTCGTCAACTAATGAAGAGTTTTATTCAACACCTAAAGTACCCCAATAAAATTGCATCATCAAAAGTACCTCATCAAAAGTACCTCATCCAAAGTACCTCATAACAAGTACCTAATCAAAAGTACCTCACCCAAAGTACCTGATAAAAAGTACCTCATCAAATGTATCTCCTTAAAAGTACCTCATTAAAATTACCTCATCAAAAATACCTCATCAAAAATACCTCATCCAAAGTACCTCATCAAAAGTGTCTCATCAAAAGTACCTCATCAAAAGTATCTCATCAAAAGTACCTCATTAAAATTACCTCATCAAAAATACCTCATCAAAAGTACCTCATGAAAAGTACCTCGGTGCTGGAATCTCAGGTTGAAGAGCACAAATTTTCACGGAATAATTAGGCGAGTCAATGTTGTGTTTTAATCAAACATGAAATGCCAAATGCATTAAGAAAAACTTTCGGTTTTGGAACGTGAAGGCTATTGTTTTGGGGAAATGTAATAATAAATGGCAGAGATGTCTACTAGACATTGCATATTTATGTCTAAAACAAATTAGTTAATTTAAAGTTTTATTCAACGGTAGAAATTTAAATAAAACAAATATAAAAATCCTCAACAGGAACAAGGTTTTAAATGCACTGAAAATAAGAAAATAAAAGTAATCTTTTTTTTTTCATTTTTTATTTATTTTATTTTTTTTTTTTTTCAATTTTTAGAAGTTTTATTAAGTGCATTACACAAAACGAGAAAAAAAACCCCAGATTAAATACTGAAAAATCAACCAAATAATAATGTTTCAAATCTTAGAATTCATTTGTTCATTTAGATTGTGGAATAGCGTCCTTCGGGCTATTGACACTGAAAAGACAACAAGAACTCGAACATCTCGCGGTTTACATACTGTGGTGGATGATAATCAAAGTTTTCTATTCCAATGGACATTTCCCACAAATCTAAGAAAACGACTTTATCTTCTAAGCCTTTGAACCTTTCTCGTATTATATGGATATACTGGGGTCCTAAAGGATCCCCTCCAATTGCATGATTGTAATTGTAATATAAAGAAGCAATGTGAGGACCTCTGAGTCCTATCAAGACGTTGGGATTTTCTTCAAGCAGTTTTTCTATGGCGGCTCTCAGAGATTTCATACGTAACGACAGCACAGCGAGATGGGAAGCCGTGTAGTGGAGGTAATACTGAATGATGAGAATATGTTTCTGGTTTTTTGGTAGCTTCTGAATAAAACTTGGAATCCCGGTATAATTTTCATTTCTTTGTGAGTATGTATACGCCGGTCCTTCGTGGCAAAAAACATTTATGGTGAGTCCAGTCTCAGGCTTGGTGCATGTCCCTCTAAATGGGTATCCACCTTCAGTTTTGTTACATTTTGTTAGCTCAAGAATAGTGTCATAGGTCATCCTGGCATTTGAGTCCCCAAAGATCCAGACGGATGTGTTTCTGAGGCATTTTAGTGTCCAGTTTGTATTGATGACCCCTACGTCCTTACAGACCAGAGACTTCCACATATTGCCAGGTGTCCAGATGCCTTTAGGCATCGCTGTTGTACAGGTGACATTTTTGTTTGACGTGTGACAGGGGGGTAACTCTGGAAAGTTATCTGTATTTTCTGTAGATATTTTAAAATTGTGAGCAACTGTCCGTTCTGGAGGTTTCGTGCAGATAGACTTAATCAGACTTCTTTCAGTTCATGTAAGGTCGTGGGGCGGTGATACATCTAAATATCCACCGTGTATCCAGTCGTCACATGATAAACTGATTATATATATATATATATATATATATATATATATATATATATATATATATATACCAGATTTTGCCGCTAAACAATGTAAACGATCTTACGAGCGACCAATATTTTTATTTTCTTATTTTCAGTGCAGTTAAAGGCTTGTTCCTATAAAGTTTTTATACTTATTTTTTTTTTTTTTTACTTTTTATTGATGCCTTATGTATGAAGTCGACACGACTAAAAATATTTGCTTTAAAACACTATCAGTAGATCGTGATATCTAAAAGACGATTATTAGCCTCGTGAAAGCAGCCGTCCGTTACAGACAACAGCAAGTTCTTAATTTTTTTACCTCCCCTTAGTTTCAAAGCGTTTGAATAAAAATATTACTTGCCCCTTATAGCCTTCACTAGATCGGCCGTCTCTGCGATTGTAAACATACGACGTGAACGACAGCTCACCAGACTGGTCGTTTGATAGCGTCTAGCTAGCTTTTTCCCTTTCTGTTATTGAATCTATCGAGTTATTTAATTTAGTAGGTACAAGACCGTTTAATTAATTTTTAATGACTAATTAATCATCTACTTTTATTAAAAAATAGATCAAAGGTTAAAATAGAGTTACAAGATTTGCCACAAACCCACAAACAAACAAACAGACAGACGTTGCGATCTAAATAAAAGCTTGTAAAAACACAAAGCCCAGACTGCCAGCGAATATTCAACAACATTCAGTGTAACTCAGTGGCGTAGCGAGGTCGGGTGTCACCAGGTGCGGCACTTAATGGTGTCACCCCCCAGAGGTGTAGCAACCCTTCCCGGCGCGCACCCCCCCTCAAACTTTCGATTTGCATCCCCCCTCAAACTTTCGATTAGCACCCCCCCCCCCTCCAACCTTGTCGGGATTTGTCAAATTTGCTCTTAAAAGACTTTTTAACACTCGAGTGAATCAATTAAGTGGAATTATCATTTTTCCCTATATATTTTGCTATTTTTTGCCTTGTTGTCACCCCCTTAAATGATGTCACCCGGTGCGGCCCGCACAACCCCCCACCTCTCGCAACGCCACTAGTGTAACTTAGAAAACATGCTCGAAAGGAAGAAAATTATTTTACCCACGGAATTAATGTGTGAACACAAAGGAAAACAGGAGCAGCACAAAATTATATAATTACAAATAATTTTTGTTAATTTTTGTGAATATTAATCAAGCCCAAAGATTGAGTGAAACAAGGACATCATTTTCAGCTAGCTGATTGTAAACCAATTCCTAGACCCCCCCCCCCCTCCCCACCCAATCCTTTATATCAGCAGGTGAGGATAGACTGATACTTTATTATTCAATCCGGTCATCAAGATGGAGGCGTTCCCACAACCTCACGTACCTGCGCTTTATTTCCCGCCAACTGCGTATTGGGACATTTGCATAAATCTAACCAGGATGCAAAGCGGCAATTTTAATGAGGTGGGGAGTCAGGCGTTGATTGGATTAGAGAACCAGAAACTGTAGAATGAAACTAATATGTCTGGTGCTAATCCCACGCTGATTGTGTTACGTTCAGACAAAAAAAAATGTTTTGTTTGTGTGAGATTTTTAATAGAGTCTTGTAATAGAAGTGTACTTGCTGGTACCAGGGGAGTCTTGTAATAGAAGTGTCTGGTACCAGGGGAGTCTTGTAATAGAAGTGTACTTACTGGTACCAGGGGAATCTTGTAATAGAAGTGTCTGGTACCAGGGGAGTCTTGTAATAGAAGTGTCTGGTACCAGGGGAGTCTTGTAATAGAAGTGTCTGGTACCAGGGGAGTCTTGTAATAGAAGTGTCTGGTACCAGGGGAGTCTTGTAATAGAAGTGTCTGGTACCAGGGGAGTCTTGTAATAGAAGTGTCTGGTACCAGGGGAGTCTTGTAATAGAAGTGTACTTGCTGGTACCAGGGGAGTCTTGTAATAGAAGTGTCTGGTACCAGGGGTGTCTTGTAATAGAAGTGTCTGGTACCAGGGGAGTCTTGTAATAGAAGTGTCTGGTACCAGGGGAGTCTTGTAATAGAAGTGTCTGGTACCAGGGGAGTCTTGTAATAGAAGTGTACTTGCTGGTACCAGGGGAGTCTTGTAATAGAAGTGTCTGGTACCAGGGGAGTCTTGTAATAGAAGTGTCTGGTACCAGGGGAGTCTTGTAATAGAAGTGTCTGGTACCAGGGGAGTCTTGTAATAGAAGTGCACTTGCTGGTACCAGGGGAGTCTTGTAATAGAAGTGTACTTGCTGGTACCAGGGGAGTCTTGTAATAGAAGTGTCTGGTACCAGGGGAGTCTTGTAATAGAAGTGTCTGGTACCAGGGGAGTCTTGTAATAGAAGTGTCTGGTACCAGGGGAGTCTTGTAATAGAAGTGTACTTGCTGGTACCAGGGGAATCTTGTAATAGAAGTGTCTGGTACCAGGGGAGTCTTGTAATAGAAGTGTACTTGCTGGTACCAGGGGAGTCTTGTAATAGAAGTGTCTGGTACCAGGGGAGTCTTGTAATAGAAGTGTCTGGTACCAGGGGAGTCTTGTAATAGAAGTGTCTGGTACCAGGGGAATCTTGTAATAGAAGTGTCTGGTACCAGGGGAGTCTTGTAATAGAAGTGTCTGGTACCAGGGGAGTCTTGTAATAGAAGTGTCTGGTACCAGGGGAGTCTTGTAATAGAAGTGTCTGGTACCAGGGGAGTCTTGTAATAGAAGTGTACTTGCTGGTACCAGGGGAGTCTTGTAATAGAAGTGTCTGGTACCAGGGGAGTCTTGTAATAGAAGTGTCTGGTACCAGGGGAGTCTTGTAATAGAATATACTTGCATAGAGGCTACATAGAATATAATGGTTCTTTGAAATACGAAATTAATTCGTTCCTTACCATTGTTCATATGCAGACTTTCTTCCAGGCATTAAATCTACCCCCCCCCCCCCCACCCACGAAGGAAATGACATTTAGATTGAAAATATATACTTTCAATAGTGTCCACCCCCGGAAAATTTAGCTCCAGCCCGAAAATTTCATGATTTCAAGTAAACCCCCCTCCCCCGTTTTACGCCTTCCTAAGTCTGTGTCTGTGTTTATGTATGCTAACACGATAACGATGTCATAAATGTGTAATAGCTTCTGTACGTGGGTTTCTGTTAATTTTTTTAGCGATTTCCCATAACCGGAAGTGATATGTATTCTTTTTCAGGTTTCTCAAAAAAAACAAAAAAACAAACGATGTATGAGTACCATTTCAGTTAGGTGGTCGAGATTCTAAATATTAGTATCAAACCGTATCAACAAGAGTCCTTCAACTTTTAAGCGATTTATTTCCTGTAGTGCCACTTATTTCCGATTGCCGAAAAACCTTTAGAATTTGGTAATTTTATATCAGATTCTCATAGTTGTTATGAAATTTTTGCCTCTTAGTATTTTCTTTAAACCCCCATCCCCCCCCCAAAAAAAAAAAAAAAACAAAACAAACAACAACAAACAAACAAAAAAAAAGGATTCGACAAATTTACTTACCACTTCTACATCCCGAGTGCCATCCCAACCGTCACTGTTTTATACGAATATACGAGCAAGTCTATGGGGGGGGGGGGGGGTGGAATATCTCTGTCACTTTTTTTCTATGTGAGATCAGCCCCTCGTATATTTTTAATACAACGGGCGTATAACACATTTGTAATGATAAGCAACTGGACCATTGGACGTTTCTGTCCTTTGGTCATGGACTTGGTTAACCCATTACAGGTGAGAACTTCCAGTGAGCGAACCCACACGGTCAGCAATTAATAACTAACTATAATAACAAGCGGCTATAGACACGACTACTAGTCTCTTTATTAGACGGCTATAGACACGACTGCAAGACTCTTCATTAGACGGCTATAGACACGACTAATTGTCTCTTTATTAGGCGGCTATAGACACGACTGCTAGTCTCTTTATTAGGCGGCTATAGACACGACTGCAAGACTCTTCATTAGACGACTATAGACACGACTAATTGTCTCTTTATTAGGCGGCTATAGACACGACTACTAGTCTCTTTATTAGACGGATATAGACACGACTGCAAGACTCTTCATTAGACGGCTATAGACACGACTAATTGTCTCTTTATTAGGCGGCTATAGACACGACTGCTAGTCTCTTTATTAGGCGGCTATAGACACGATTACTAGTCTCTTTATTAGACGGATATAGACACGACTGCAAGACTCTTCATTAGACGGCTATAGACACGACTAATTGTCTCTTTATTAGGCGGCTATAGACACGACTGCTAGTCTCTTTATTAGGCGGCTATAGACACGACTGCTAGTCTCTTTATTAGGCGGCTATAGACACGACTGCAACACTCTTTATTAGACGGCTATAGACACGACTAATTGTCTCTTTATTAGACGGCTATAGACACGACTACTAATCTATTCATTAGACGGCTATGCACCGACACGGTAACATAATCCTATGATTCTCCCCCCCCCTCCCCACCCTGTCCACTTGAAGTTTTGTTCGGCCTCCGTTCTGGCAGTGTGAGGAGCTTTGAGGCATCATCATAGGTGTGTCCTGGAACCACCCTAGATGGTGATGTGGTCGTCTGTACCTGTACCTGTAAAGGTGAATTTGTCACCTGTACCTGTACCTGTAAAGATGTTGTGGTTATCTGTAACTGTAAAGGTGTTGTGGTCATCTGTAACTGTACCTGTAAAGGTGAGGTGGTCACCTGTAACTGTACCTGTAAAGGTGATTACATTAGCTAACTTACCTGCATTACTGTCTAACACTATGATTACATAACTTACCT